CTTCAGATTATTGCCACTGTGGGTTAATTTCCAGAGATGAGAAAAAGTTGACTTTGACAATTTTTTCTAGTGTTCTCATTGCTTTTGTGAAGGAGCAGATTTTTAGGGGTTACTCAGCTATTCCAGAAGTCACTCCACCTTGTTTTAAACAACAAGGTTTTCATTTATTTTATTCAAGGTCCAATGTAGTTGGATTTACTAGCTTCTTACCTATTGTCACAAACTGAACACACCCATGCGACTCATACCCAGAATGCTCTTCTTGTTCCTGTCTAGCCGCTAACTATCCCTCTCCCAAGATAACATATTTTTAAAATTAACATCATTTAAATTATTTAGCACATACTGTATGGTGTATGGCTTCTTTCACTCAACATTGTGTTTCTGAGATTGACTTGTGTTGGTGAATGCAATTGTTCATTCTCATTGCGGTAACATTCCATTGTATGAATATACCACAAGTTACCCATTCTACATAGGTGGACATTTAGATGGCTTACAGTTGGGGCTGTCACATTTTGTTCTTGTACATATATTTTTGAGAACATTCCTGTTAGATATATACCTAGAAATGGACTGCCTTGCTCATATGTTATATAAATGTTGAGTGTTCGTGGATACAGCTTTTAAAGTTGACGTGCTACCAGTTTACATCCCACAACAGTGTATAAGAGTTCTATTTACTTAATATCCTTGCCATAGTGGGCATTATCCAGCCTTTTCACTTTAATCATTCTGATGTGTGTGTGGTGCTATCACAGTGATACCACTTTAATTTGCATGTAATGCATTTGGCCAGTTTTCATAGGGTTGTCTGCTTTTCTCTTATGAATTTGTAGGAGTTTTTTACGTATTTTGTACACCAATATATACAGGCTTGCAAATATCACCTCCTACTCTGTAACTTCCCTTTTTCCCCATTTAAATGGTGGTGTTGGATAAAGAAAAGTTGTCAATTTTAATGTGCTTTAATTTATCCAGATTTTTGCTTTGTGCTTAATACTTTTTGGATCCTGTTAAAAAAATCTTTATTGGCCAAAGAAAATTAAAGATGCAACTGATTTAATTTTTCTGCAAAAAAATTTAAAGACCTGTTATTTAGGCAGAACACTTTAGTCTATCTTGAAGAATACTAATGTTTCCCAAAGAGTGTATTTTACAAATGATTGCCCTTTTTAATTCACAAAAACATCCCCAAAACATCAAGCCTTATATAACTCTATCCCAGAAGATCTTTTGTTCTTTCCTATCAAACCCAGCAATTCCGTTGAGTATATTTCTTATCCCATTTGTTTCTAATCACCCTGTCTTCTATTTTCAGAGATAATAGAGCCCATTAGATGTGAAGTCCTCTAACTTTCTGCTCTCTGATTCTATCCCACAAGATATAACCTCATCTTATATTATTTCCCCTCCTGTTTCTGTGGGAGATGTTCTGAAAAGTAGGTCTGTCTTTAGTTAAAAAACAAAACAAAATTTTATTCTCTAAACTAGTGGTTCTCAACCTTGGCTGCACATTAGAATCACCTGGGAATCTTTTTAAAATCTGGATTTCTGGGCCTCATCCTCCGGAAATTCTGTTTCTTTGTTACTAATGTTGTGGCCTCACCCCATAACAAAGAAACAAATTTCCAGAGGATGGGGCCCAGAAATCGGATTTTTAAAAGATTCCCAGGTGATTCTAATGTGCAGCCAAGGTGAGAACCACTGCTAACCCCTATTGGTTATTGCCATCTCTATCCTTCCTTTAAAAAATGTTTCAGTCTGACCAGTGTGGCTCGGTTGAGCGTTGTCCTATGCACCAAGAGGTCGCCAGTTCGATTCCCAGTCAGGGCACATGCCTGGATTGAGGGTTCGATCCCCAGTAGGGGGTGTGCAGGAGGCAGCTGGCCAATGATTCTGTTTCATCAGTGTTTCTCTTCCTCTCCTTTCCTCTCTCTATAAAATCAATAAAGACATTTTTTTAAAAGAAAAACATATCTTAGACATGTGGTAAAATTGCATAGAACTAAATATACCCACACAATGAGTGTGTGTAAAATTGGTGTAATCTAAATAGGGTGGATGGATTGTGTCAAATTCATTTTCCTGGCTGTGATAGTGTACTATAGTTACGAAAGATGCTGCCATTGGGGAAACTGGGTGAAGGGTATACTGGATCACTCTGTATTACTTCTTACAACTCTATGTGAATCATCTCAAAATAAAAAGTTAAAACAAAAGTCTTCCTGTAAAGTATCCATAATAAGAACTACCATTTATTGAATGCTTACTGTGTGCTAGATACACAGCTCTAAGCCCTGGCAGGTGGATATTATCATTAACCTCCGTTTCTAAATGACAAAACGGAGGCACAGAGAGATTAAGTCACTTGCACAGGGCCCCCCAGCTAATTAGTGGCAGAACTTGCATTATGATCCTGGTGGCCTCACTATAAAGAGAGAGCTCTTAACCACTCTGCCATACTCCTCCTCCATCTGTCTTCAGATCCTGCCACCTACTCACACTGCAACCCACCTCTCTGTACTTTAGCTTCCATCTAGTCACTCCCTTGCAACTGCTTTTGCCCGGATTACCAAGTCTGTTGTTAACTAATGGATTCTTTTTGGTCCTCACCATTCTTTCTGCAGCCTTTTCTGTTGCTCATACATTCCAGTATTTACTGAGCACCTGCAATGTGTCAGACTCTTGTTTTACAGCAGCAAACAAAACAGGCAGAACTGCTGTAACTGACAAATGCATGTGTCTTTACTGTTACGATTAGGGATCAGAACTTCAGTCAGTGCTGGCTTATTTGTGGATGGCCACCTTATTGGCCCATGCTGTTGTTTTTCTGTGGCTAAAACAGATCATATTATTATTTTGTGGTTTCACAACATAACTCAAAACAGACTATATTTAAATACCATTTTCACTTTTCTCCAGATACAAATCTAATCCTTTCCAAGCAGTCGTCTTGAATATAAGTAAATGAAAAGAACCACATCCTGAAGAGTACTACCCTTCTTATATAATTAGCAATAATAAATTGGGAAAATTAATTCTCTGACTTTTTAACCTGCATTTTTATGTCTAAGAATAATTTGGGTTACTTTTCTGCCCCCTTAGTTGGAAACGCCAGGAAGATCTCTGCAGAATATGATCGTCTCATTCCATCTGTCCAAATAAAAAGCTACTCCACGGGAAATGCTTGACTTCATGGAGACCTGATGCTAGCTTTTTGCGTATCGCCAAAACTGAGCACATGAGCCCGATTGAAGGAGAGGGGTCATCTTGTCCCTTTCCACACGCCCGTTGTTATTTTCTGTGTTGTCATTTCTTCCCCCAATTCAGTCAAGAAGAAACAGAAACCCTCTCCAACTTCTTCATGCCAAAAACCAGCTCTTGTTGTATTACTTCTAATGGGAATGTGTTCTGCTTGGTGATTAAAAGCAACCAGAATCCTCTTGCTTCCTCCAGCGTCACTGTTTCTGCCTGCTCGCTGTTTGTTTACGGCAGCAGTTAGCAATTTGCAGGGACAGTGCTGTCAAAGTCGCTGCCTCCGTGAAGCCGGAATGGCTCTTGGAAGAAAGATGACAGATTCGGCCCAGCAACTTGCAGAACTTGAAAAGCGATTCCTTGTCAAATACGTGAAAAACAACTCTTCCCTCTCCATGACTTGAGGGGAAAAATGAGAAACTAGCTTACGCCAGATGGTGATTCCTTGCTAGTAAAATAGGCCTGGGCTGATTCAGCCCCATTCCTTCATGTTCCTTTTGCAAAACCCACAAAGAACACATTTGGGGCCACTTTTCAGAGTTGGCAACAGTCTCTGCTTTTGAAGGAAATCATATGGACACAAATAAAGCCACAATGGATGAAGGGCTCAGAATCCCCGGGGTCCAGAAACAAGATGCATGGGCCTGCAATTCCAGGTCATCAGTTAGAACCTGGCCTGGGCCCAGGAATCATCCCAATTGTAACCAGGTTTGGTTACTTGATTAAATTTGGTTGCAACAACAAAAAAATTGGGAAAATGTTATATTTTCTTATTGACTAGATCGCTTTTTTTTTTAATCCTCACCTAAGGACATGCTTTCATTGATTTTTATATAGCGAGGGAGAGAGAAAAGCATTGATGTGAGAAACGTTGACTGGTTGCCCCCTGTACACACCCCAACCAGAGATCAAACCTGCAACCTTTATGTGCGTGGAAGGACACTCCTACCAACTGAGCCACCTCACCAGGGCTAGCCCTCTTCTTTTACAAAAAGAAAAAAAAAAAAAGAGGAAGAGGAGGGACACATAAAAACTATAGTTTGGAATGATAAAGTGATTCCGAAATTTCAAATTATTCTAGGTCTAAAGGATCAATCTTTAAGTCCAGTACCTGTCTCTACCATTTACATGTAAGGTATCATAGCTGCTTTCATATGTTTATTTTATTTTTTAAAAATATGTTTTTATTAATTTTAGAGAGAGGAAGGGAGAGAGAAAGAGAGACAGAGAAACATCCATCAGCTGCCTCCTGCATGCCCCCTACTGGGGATCGAGCCCACAACCTGTGCATGTGCCCTGATAGGGAATGGAACTGGTGACCTTTTGGTGCATGGGATGATGCTCAACCCACTGAGACACACCAGCCAGGATGCTTTCATATATTTAGAATTTATTTCTACTGGACTTGAACCTGTGTGTGTGTGTGTGTGTCTCTTAATAACCTTGGCGTTTTAAAGATGGAACAGATGTCTCAGGACTTAATGAAATCCCCTCAAAACAGTCTTTCTAGGGATGTTGTAAAGAGGATTTAAACACTATACTAGCAATCATATTGTTTGGTTTTGAAGATTTCTCCTTCACCTAAAATTCTGTGCAAGTCCCCTTTACCCGTCCTTTTTTAAAATTACCTTGATTTGGGGTATTTTCAGCCATTTAAGGTGATACCCGCTGTTTGTTTAGTTTTGTCATGTATGTAAGAAAGTACTGACCACCTTTGTTAATGTTCTATTTTATCTCTTTAGGTGGCTGAACACACACAATTAAGTTGGATCCTTACCTGCATGGTCAGACTACCCCGATTACAGCATTTACACCAGTGGAAGGTAAATGCCAATAATCTGATTAACAAACGGAAAGGAGTTCAAGGTCCCAATGACCGCCTTCCTGGTCTGCTACTCACTACTGACTAGAAAAGCTATGTTTAAGCTCTGTGCCTCAGGGTATTAAATGGAAATGAAAGGGTTCCCTAAGATTCCTTCCAACTTAAAAACTGGATCAAAATATCCAATGTACTTGATTTGATCTGTGTATGGCTGAATGAGAGGGCCCTTTGGATAGACTTGGTAATGACCTTGAAGCTACCACATTGTACTTAACAATCAAAATTTCTGGATTACGGGATTCTGAAGTTATCCCGTCGGCACTGGAATTACCTGGCAGTGAGGCAAGAATGTTTCTATTGTGGGGGGAAGAGACAGCCTATTTTATTTAACATTTAAACAAGTTGTGTCCAGGCAGCAGTTCAAACCCACAGATAAACTAAGGCTGTACTTTTTCTTAGAAGTTCAACTAAGAAAGGTAAATTGGATAATTCAGAGTACTTTACTTCCATTTATTTTTGCAATTGGATAACCCAAGGGCAGATAGCCACTGACTCTGTCAAGGCTAATTCCAGTTTTTTACAGATTCTTCTCAAGATGGTAGTAAAGCTCTATCTCATGTTTAGCTGGTGCCTGCAGAGATAAGCAGACAGAGCTTAAAAGTGACGGTGCTTAGAGAAGATGCTGATAATGCAGCATCATTACCTGACAAGCGTTACCAACAAGATTGTGTAATGCTTGGGTTTTAGGCCAGGCTTTTCCCAATTGATATAAGTCCTCTAGCACTCAGTAGAATGCTGAAATCCTCTTTATAAGAACTGAATACTAATTTCATGGGAAATGTCCCTACTTTACAATAGTGTCTAAGGGCCTCCTGGTAACACATCACTAGTGGAATGCTCAGTTGATATCCTGGAGAAGCCTTCCCACGAGCCTGCAATTCCTGGTTTGTGGGGGAAACATGGATTTCAAGTGCCAGCCTTCACCTAGAGCATGTTACTGCCTTCGGTGGTCATCTCTTCATGAACAAATATTTGTGATGCTCCTGCAAGTCTCCTGCCACGCTAGGTGCTAGAGCCACAGCAGTCAACAAGGCAGGTGGAAACAGCCCCTTTCATGAGGCTTGTAGTTTGTTCGAGAAAAGGCAATTACACAAGTAATCAGAAAGTATGAAAGAGCCCACCAGCGTGGCTCAGTGGTTGAGCGCCAACCTATGAACCAGGAGGTTACGGTTCAATTCCTGGTTCAGGGCACATGCCCTGGTTGCAGACTCAGTCTCCAGTAGGGGGCATGCAGGAAGCAGCTGATCAATGATTCTCATCATTGCTGCTTCTATCTCTCGCTCCCTCTCCCTTCCTCTCTAAAATCAATAATAGATAGATAGGTAAGTAGGTAGGTAGATAGATAGATAGATAGATAGATAGATAGAGAGTGTGAAAGACAGAGAGGAAAGGTTCCAGTGCTGTGGCCGGATCTAAGAGCTCCTACCTTGGTTTTGATTGGCACAGTGAGGGGTGGGACCATAGGGTAAAAAAGGTGGGCTCAGGGCTGCTGAGGTCAGGGTTATTTGGAGGATTAATGAGATAATACAGATGTAAGGCATCTGGGGTTGATAATAGACACGCAATAAAATATTAGTGCTCTCCACATCTTTCCCTTTTCTTTGTAATTTCAAGGTTCAGTATTCTAATATTAAAGGACTATAAATCTAATGCAGTGACAATTTTAAACAACTGAGTTCTTTTCCCATTTGCTCATTTCCAAATTAAACTTTCATTATCTTTACTCAGTGATCATTGCCAACTGGCATTTATCATGGACTTTGTAAGAAGGAGATATACTGAAGTTCAAACTTTCAAATTTCCTTTGAGTGGCCTATATTGCATTAGTTGCTATAAACAAGAAACTCCTGGTAGTAACCAGAACAGTTAAGTTGGTAACTGAATTATGAGTGAGAAGCTTTTGCCTTTCAGACCCCGACTTAAGGAGTGTGTCCGCACATTGGTGGGGGAAGCCTGCGTTGTGGGCTTTGTTGAGCTTGGTCCTTGGGATCATGCTAGTCCATGCATTTAAGTTGTTAAATTTATTCAGAAATAATAGGACCTCTGAGAAGTGGTTATTATTAACTAATCAAATGAGATTTATCTACACACCAAAATACCTATTTATCATTTTACATGTAATGATATGCAATTACCAGTGAACTACACCACAGTATTCCCTGCTAATAAGTAGCCCTGCTCAGAGAACCAAGTTACCCATCAGCACTATTTAACCGCAGGAGGGAGCTGGTATCACTAGGGCTCATACTCAGTGGGTACACACTAGTAATTTATAGCTGGCACCCATTGCTCACCAGTTATTAAATATTTCTGATGTCACCTCTGGTGTTTCCATCAGCTTCCCCATTAAGGAAATAGTCTGGTCTATGTAATTTGTCCTGTTCATTGGAATCACTTTACTCTCACTGCTGTAGCACCTAAAGATCAATACAGGTAATTAGGACTGGGAGATTAAAGTTTCTCTTCATTTTAAATGCCATGATTTCCTTTGTAGTTGTTTCCTTAAATGCGATATTTTAAAATTGATTTTAGAGAGAAAGGGAGAGGGAGATAGAAACATCAATTATGAGAGAGAATCATTGATTGGTAGCCTTCTGCATGCCCCCCTACTGGGGATTGAGCCTGCAACCCAGGCATGTGACCTGACTGGGAATCTAACTGTGACTTCCTGGTTCATAGGTCGACACTCAACCACTGAGCAATACCAGCCAGACTTAAATGTAATTTTAAGGAAACAGTCCAGTTTTCTTAACAGCACAGAGTGAGACTTTTGGGGAGGTTTCCCCGGATAAACAATAGGCATTTGATATTAACTCATGTTAGTTTATAGGCATTTAATTTCATGACATTTTCTGCCCTTGCCTGTGAAATCAGGAATTATCTGATTTGGAACCTTGAAAACTCTTATGCCCTTACTTTAATAAAATGGATGGGAAATAGTGGCAGTGGTGGAGTGGACTCACCTTGTTCCTGCCTAAGCCTGGGGCATGAAGACAAGCCACCAGAAGATGGCTAGAGTTGCTAGAAGGAACTGAGATGTAATGTCATTGCAGGCGCCTTTAGATTGCCCTTTGCTTGCTTTAAAGATTTCTTAGTTTACAGTATAATGAGGTTCATGTCAGATTTCTTTCCCTCCTCTTGTCACCCCCACAGGCAAAGAGTGCCAAGCAGAAGCACGATGGAACCGTGGGCCTGCTCACGTACCCGGTGCTCCAGGCAGCCGATGTCCTGCTATACAAGTAAGGAGCGGAGCTCACCCCGGTCTTACACATACGCATGCGTAAGAGGGTGTTTTATCCTATTCCGGATATATTTGGTTCACAGGGAAAGGGGACATAGAAAGGATCAGACATGTGAATTAGTTTTCATCTATTCTCCAGTAACAGATACTAAATTATGGATGGATGTTCCATAATTTAGTATCCTCCCTAGGAGAACTAGACTCTTTTGCCTGTAAGTGTGGTAATAGCATGGAGATGACAGTATATATGCCTTGTGCAGTTATGATGGAAACAGCCAGAGAGCAGCTGCTTAGCTTTATAGATAAGGAATGTCCAGTATTAGGAATGTCCGAGAAATAGAAGGGAGAGAAGGGCCCTGAGATGTCAACAGACAATCCAGTCACCCTCCTGAAAGCAGTGGGAGCTATTGGTGCATTTTAAGGACAGAATGAAATAACTCCATGCATACTTTTAAAAGAGGAATGATTAAAATGCAGAGAATAAATTGGGGGACAAAAGCAGCTTGGGGGGGAATCTATTAAGAGGTTCTTTTACTAGTCTGTTTGGACCCTGATGGCAACAGTGAAGACAAAGAGAGTAGACAACCTTTCACGAGGTTAGGGGGTACAATGGATAAGACCTCATAATGATTGGATGTGAATGAGAAGGAGGTATCAGGGCTGACCCCAGGTTTCGGACTGTGCTCCCAGATTGATGGTGTTGCCCTTCACTGAGGTTGGAAAACTGCAGGGGGCCCAGCCAGAAGGAGGTACAGCTTCATTCCGTGTTCTCTGGCTTCCTGGAAGCCTTAACTCCCTGGACAGTAAGACCTTGTCTGTCTGCCAGTACCTAGCACCAGGCCCTGCACATCGTAGGTCTTCCATGAGGAATTGCTACATTAGAGAGTCATCACCGCATATCTAACACTACCAGTGATGGCGAATTAATCTTTTATGAAAAGAAAAACAGCACCGAACTCCTGTCCCAGCTGGGCTGGTTAAAGGCAACAGCACGGAAAACTCACAAACAGCCAAAGAAGTAGGAAAAAAAACCACACCAAGAGAACAAATCTCTGCGAGCAGATATATGTAGGCCACGATTATTCATCTAGACACTAATTCTGCCAAAGGGTTGGGGTGGATCCCAAGTACACGTAAACGCAATGAGGGACTCAGCAGAAGAAAAATGGTTTAGTCACCAGAGAAGATCAGACGCATTATTATGTGACAGAAGTTATAACAATCAAAATTATGAAAGACTTTTGTTTTATGTTGTGTCTAAGAAAGCACACTCGGGGTAAGAGGGAAAAAAAAGGACGTGGAGAAAAAGAGAAGGCATTAATATGGATATCGTTAAGGAGGGTATAAATTTTAAAAGAGCAGCACTAAATTATTTGAAGTGAAAGGAAGACTCTGAGGAGAGAAGCTGCAAATGTGAAGAGAATAAGCCCCGTAAGTGTGCAGAATCAAAGACAGGCTGAATTAATGTGAAGTGTAAACTCAATGGAGGAGAAGGAAGGGCCGAGATAAATTACAGGAGGTGAAAGCAGCAGCGGGAGCAGGGGAGGAAAGACTAGAAACAAACAAACCGAAATCAGATGAAGAAGCCAAGTGCGGCCATAGGACCAGGTGAAAAAAATTAAAATTTTTAAAATCTTTTTCTTTTTTTTTTCTTTTTTTCAAAGCAAAATCTCACAGAATGGCAAGAAAAGAGGCGAGGGTCCGGCATGAGGCAAAGACGCACGCAGAGTCATTATGAAAACTAAATGTGTTTTCTGTTTAGTTTGGTTGCTTTGTGAATCTGGAACCATTTTGACATGTGGAAATATTCATTTCGATGTGCTTAAAGTGTATTGATTATGGTAATTGTTTTTTCTGTGTTAGTTGCAGTCCGTTGTGATTTCCTATGGGCTACCGTAATTGCTTCTTAACCTGCCCTGTTGGCTAATTTGGTTTGGGAGAGGCGAGGTGACCTCTGCATGTCAGCCTCACCGTAATTACAAGACAGGAGTAGCGACGTCCAGTCAGAGAAGAGAAATGTGGAAAGGGGGAGGGTGCACTCCTCCCAGAGGAGCATGTGCAGGGTCCTGGGCACTGAGAGGCTCATAAGAAGGAGCATTTTGGTTTTTACCACGCCCTGGGCCAGTGGCTTTTTGCTCCAGGCTGTGTGGACAAGAGCAAGGGACAAAGGCCGAACCATAATTTTGTAAAATTTCCTGAATTCATCGACGGACCTTAGTAGAAGAGAAACTACTTCCAGATCCATTGTCATCGTCCCTGCATTTTGCCTTTCCCATTCATTGTTCTGTCCCTGTTTTCCTGGAATTAAAGGAATTCTCAGAATCCCTATAGCATGCCATGTATACTTTGGAATTACCTAATCAGATATGTAAACGGTCCATTTCAAATATGTTTTGCACCCATACCTGTCAGGATGGCTGCCCAGGTTTGTGCCTGTCTCTGGGATTACATGTTGATATTTTACGTTTATGGGGTGAGGCAGCTATGAATAAGGAAAGTGATCGTGTTTGCAAAAAGTCACCATGTACCTCATACCAAGGTGTCTAATAGTATCGGGATTTCTGTCACTATTTTATCCTGCATTATGTCAGGTATTAATGAGTATATGTTATATCAATAGCTAGTGTTTATTGAGCTCTTACTATCAAGTACTATACTTGGTCATCGCATTTAATGAAACAACTGTATAAGGTAGGCACTATTATGATCACTATTTTACAGAGGAAACAGGTTTAAAAAAGCTAAGAAGGTTGGCTATGACGCGCCTTGTGGCTGGTGGAGTTGTGATTTAAATTCAGAAAGTCTGATTTCCAAGTTCCCGCTTTTATCCTCTCTAGTGATCACGAACTGACTGCATTATACATTTTATCTTGGTAGAGACTATAGTGACTTTGTATAGATTATAGTGGCTTCCTCTTTAGATCATTCATTTTTTGAATGAGTATTTATTAAGCTCCTCATGCATACCAAGCAACTCTATTGGGAATATACTGAAAAGCAAGACAGACAGACTCTCAAAAAGCTTACTTTATAGCTTATTTTTAAAAGCTTATTTTATTTTTAGGATCTCGTAGTGGGAGAGTTAAGCCTCTCACAGGTTAATTTAATATTCTAATATCGTTAAAACATTCTTTCTATATTCATTAGGAAAAATTTAAAAAAATCACTGCTGCTATTTGTTTTTATTACCATATTGGTGCATTTCCTTCAAATCAGTTTCTTAAGCTAACATTTCTTGTTTGCACACTGTGTGCCAGGCACCAGACTGTGAGCTTTGCGCACATTATTTTACTCCTCAAAGCACTCCTTGTGCAGGAACTATTACAAGTCAGTTTTTAAAATGAAAAAAAAACAGGCTGAAGGAGGTTAAATAAGTTGCCCCGGAACACCCGGCTGGAGTGCAGGAATCTGACCGCAGGCTGCCTAACACCAGAGTCCCCACTCCAACCACTGTGGCTCCTTCTTCACGCGGATACGTGTTACATGTATTTTCAAAAAAAAAAAAAAATTGGCATCCTGGCTTTTTTGTCTTATATTTTCCCACATCATTGAAATGTTTTCTAGTGTTTAATTTTTTTTCCTGTGTGTGATTGTTTTCTATCTTTTGTTGCCTGGATTGTGTTTGCTTTGCTTTTATCTACTCCAGTGATTGGAAGGTGTGCTTTCTGTTTCCCGTTCTAGTAGCGGTTGTCTTTGAACTAAACAAAGACCACCCGAATGAGGGCACACAGACACTGTTCATGCAGAGCTGGCCGCGGGAGTCGTCAGCCCCCTCCCTTGTGTTTCTCAGAGGCTCCAAGCAGGAGGGCAGTGGGAACCTTTGTAGGAACGGGAGGCTTCAGGTATGCTTTCTGTTTTGAGGCTGTTGCCACCGGGAAGCTGGAGGCCGGCTAAGGAGAAGCGGGGCATATATGATGGGATTCGTTCGGGGAGCATTTTGACTTTCTCTGGTTGGTCCTGAGTTAGACAAAGAATTGGGAAGTTGGCAGTCATTGCCCAAGTCTCGACCGTTCCAGGCCAGTGGCTGCAGAGCTGGTGATTTGGCTCCTGGTCTGGTTGCTCCAAAGGTTTTGGGTCATGGTTTTTTCGTCATGTATTGTCTGGCCATTGTCCATTTGTATATCGGTTTCTCTCTTTCCAGGAATTACATTTGGGGTCTTGTTTTAATCGTTCCAAGTACAAAATGACATCATGTGGTCAGATGGGTTATTCGTCGCACTGAGATCTTCAGTCTACACTCACACTTCCTTTTGATTCTGTTAACTAACCTGGGATTTTCAACAAAGGTTGTTATAAATGTATTGATTTTAGATTGCATTGTCTGCCTCAAATTGTGACCAAAATTTAGATTCTATGTTTTAATGTTTACAGCCTGTCTTTACACCCCAGCATCTCCGCTTCTGAGTTCTGGATCCTTAGGTTTGACTCAGAATTGTTTCCAGTCCTCTACATGCCTGAGAATTGCCCTCTGGTTAGCTTGCTTCCTTTGTAAAATGGGATTGAGGACAGGAATAATACATTAAGAGTGCTAGCAAAGTGTACAGCATCGAGGGGGTGTTTCCTAGCCACTAGCTACTTTATTATCATCATCATTATTATTATTATAGTTCACAATAAAAGGCAGCTTGGCTAGGTTTTTAATACCTTCTACTCTCAACCCTATAAACATTGTTTCATTGTTGTATTATTAACCTGATTTTTCTCATTTTCCTTTTTATTTTTCTGGCAGTGGAATAGAGGGTTTTTATTTCTTTAACTTTATAATTCAGTTTTTTGGTTTTTTTTCAGTTTTATGTTTGGATTTTTTTTTCTGGGTTGTGTTGCAGTGTGAGTCTCTGGTGTTTTTCCTGAAACTTGTTGAGCCCATTCAATATGCACACTAGTACTCAGTTTTGCTTGCTTCCTTGTTTCTAACCTAGTAAAGTTCCGTCCAGTTTTAACGTTATGGCTTCCGTTCAGATGGTCCTGGTGCCTCCCTTTGGAGGACCCTAATCTTAGACCAGAGGATGGTCCTGCAACCCATCGCGTGTGGGTCCCGTTTCTCCTTTTCCTCCGGCGGAGTTCTTGAGAAGCTTCTCATTCCTCACCCAGGCCGCCGATCACGACTGTCCTTAGATTCTGCTCCTTCCTGCTCCTGGTTCTGTGATTATGTGTTGGCTTTCCTCTATTTCATCATTTCACTTTCTCTCCATTTTGTTGTTTTCTCTCACCGATGTTATCCTCCTTTTGTGGCTTCTTGCGCTTGTCCTAAAACCACCATATCTTTTTGAATCCTATTGAAGTTACCAAGTAGTTTTCTTTAATAAAACAAAACTACCTGTTTCTAGTAAAAGTTCATTTTCAAATGCCTGGTCTTCCTCAGAGTCTCCAGGGTAGAGTTGCCTTTCCCTTGTTCTACATTATTTTTCATAGGCTCTGGATCGGGGTCTTCTACTGGCTTATTTGTTTCATTTTTATGTGCTGGGTTTTTACACTTGATCTTAGCCAAAAGGCTGAGAACAGATGTGTGCTGGGTTTTTTAAATCCATATTGGAATAAGGAAACTGTATTCAAATTGTGTCAGCCAATAGACAAAATCTGCAAAAGGCCCGTGTGTCCTCCTGCTACTTGGACGCTATTTGAACTCTGTGCTCATAATTCAACAGGAAGGCAGAGCAGTGTGCTGCACTTTGGTCCAATGGCTTATGTTGCTCAAGTAGGCTAGCACTGCTGGTCTGAGATAGAGTTCTCTCCTGTTGCCTGCCTTCAGCACTTAACTTTTTATTTTATTCATTTAGCAAATGTTCCCTGAAGGCTGCCCACTCTTAGCTGGGAAACACTCTGTGTCCGGGGTACAGGAGTGGGTAAGACCAGCACACCCCTGCTGCCATGGAGCTCACATGCTCATTCTCAGGAGGAGGCAGTGACTGTGACCAGTGCCTGCTGCCTCCACTGCCTGGACCGTTGTTTTCTGAGAGCTGTCTTCACGGCTGAATATAGAAAGAAAGAGTCAGGCCAATGCCACACAAAAGGCCAGTAGCAATCTAGCTGCCGTGGAGGGATGTCTGTCCTCATCTCCGGCTGGGGTAGGTTTCCAGCAAGGGGGGCATTTGCCCCAACTACATACGACAAGAAACTCAACCAATGGCTCTTTCTAGTTCAGTTCTGTTGATCTTCACCATTAATGAAAGGTCTTCTCAAATTCTGTCCTTAGTTTTAACACTTAATGCTAGTTTTTAGTTATTTAGAGTTCCTCTGTCTTCATGGGTGTTCTCGGTAAAACATTCAGACAGGTATTTTCTACCACAGTGTTGGTATCATTTCAAACCTGGAGCGTTGATTCTTCACTGTTGAGTTTGGGAGTGAATGTGAGCTATTTAATGCCAGTATCTAGTAGGAAGGCAGAGATCCAGCCCTGAGCCTTCAGAGAGCTGGCAGAGCTAGCAGCAGAGCCATAGAGATCAGCAGAGAAGGGGCATGCGGACCCTCGCGTGAAAGTTGATATGCTCTCCAATGATGAGAGAAAACCAGAGGGCCAAGACTGTGTTTTTAGAAATGTCAATATTTGGGGGACAAAAGGAGAAAAATAAGCGAATTCATTGATCTGGGTTGATTCTATTTTATTTTTGCTCTCCTGTGAAAATTTGTATATAAGTAAATATACCCCATCAGGTCTTGATTATCTACTTTGCTAAAAATGCATGATGACCTGGGATTTTTTCCCCTTCACAAACTGTCCCTATGTCTGGAGAGAAGTTGGAATCAGAGTCAGGTAGGGATTGGACCTCTAGTTCTTTAGGAAGTGTGTCTTGAGCACCGTTCTGAAATAGAACACATATGCACCATTTGAGAATCCTGTTCTCCGCCTGGCTACCATTATTTGAAAGCTTGCCAAGTTGCAGGCACTGTGCTAAGCACTTTACATGAATTGTCCCATTTAATCTCCATGACAATAGTGTGGGGTGAGTAACTGTTATTACCCTCAATTTACAGTCAGAAAGTTGCCTATGACAGAAATTCTGTCACTTACCCAGTCACATAAGACAAGAATGGCAGAGTCAAGATTTGGTGCTAGTCTAGTCACTAAGCCTGTTATCCTACATGAGTGCTCTACTGCATCTCGAATGTGCTCACGCATGTATGCGGGTGTGTGTGCACACACACACCCACACACGCACACGGCAACTGCACGAGTATATGAGGAACTATATATGTTAATGTTCAGGGATTTTTTAAAAATACATAGAATGAATTTTATTTGATTTCCATGCAAAAGAAGTGTCAGAGAGTTGCGTTGAAACCTATTGCTTATTCTAATACTCAAAACATATATCAGCTCTTTTCTTTTGGAAATATATTCAGAATTATTTTATCAAACAAATATTAGTTTCATGAATTGACAGCCATACCTTGTCTCTAACCAGAAAGTATGGAACATTCATTCACCAGATTTGTCTCCAGATGACTTTCAGTTATTATAAAAGATAATTTTTTCCCATTCCAATAAAAATTTCCCCCTATATGAATCTTAAAACAAAATGATGTAAGTTCCTTATGGTTCTATAACTATAGTACAGGAACAATCTGTGCACCTATTAAAATTCAAATGAATGAAGACCGTATAGAAACATGGGAAATGCCATTATGTTAACATGAAAGGTGGAATGCATATCATGCCTGCTTTATGTAAAAATACATATAGACACCTACAGGGACTGGAAGGTAATTAGCAAATATAAAAACAATTAGAATTATGAGGGATATTGCGAACTTTTTCAAAATGCTCTCAAGTAGTTTACTATCTTAAAGCTGGTCTTTATGCTAGTCAAACCTCCCTCACTTCCTCATGCTCTGGACAGCTCCGTTAAATGGACCAGTAGCCCGTGGACAGTAATTCGCAAGGAAAATCAAAGGCCTCTGCCAGTTCTTTGAGAATCACTAACTAACCCTGGGCTAGGAGGGTCTCCTCTCTATAACAAAGCACCATAGCTTCCTAGCAGATTTCCTTTGCTGTGGCTCTTTTGAAAGCTGTTATTTTTCCTCTCAAATGTATAATTATTTAAATATTCAAGTTCACTTAAGGCTGCTGCTTTCACAGGGGGCGTATTAAACTTCCTTGATTAAGAAACTACAGCACTTTATTCACTGTATTATCAAATGTAAACTCCCCAGCCAGCATTAAAGTCTTCAAATCACCCATCTTCTCCCCTGGTAATACTTCAGTAAAGCTTTCCCCATCAAGACTTCTCTCAACTGGTTCCTTTTTCCCTTGTTTGACATATTCACCATGATCTAACACTTTACATATGGGATTAAAATAATTATACAGTCCCTGTATTCTGATAAATTTTTTAATAAAATAAAGTCTTACAGGTAAGATCCAGGTCTTTGTTCCTTTCCTCAGGTCCCTTCTTCCCCTCCTTCTCTGGAGGCGGCTACGATCAGGGATTTGTGGAGGAGCTTCCAATGTTTTCTTTTAGACATTTGTATTGATTTCACAGAGGAAGAGAGGGAGGGAGAGGTAGAAACATCAATGATGAGAGAGAATCATTGATCGGCTGCCTCCTGCATGCCCCACACTGGAAATCAAGCCTGAAACTGGGGCATGTGCCCTGACCAGGAATCGAATCCTTAACCTCCTGGTTCCTAGGTCTACACTCAACCACTGAGCCATGCCAGCTGGGCCGAATATATGTTTTAACTTATATATGTATTGGTGCATAGAATTTTCATACGTTCTTTTAAGATCTACATAAATGTCATTGCTCTCTACCTCTTCTGCAACTTGCTTTTTCCATTCAACATTGTTTTTGAGATCCCTCTACATTGTACTGATAGATTTTGATTTTATTCATTTGTTTTAAGTTCCCTGCAGCATATTAATTGTCCTGTGATTGTTGCAATGTACTGGAAAACAAAAGAGCATATATTTCTAAAAGATCTTGAGTCACTCCCTGTGTGGCAGGAGGAAAATTCTCGCCTGCAGAGCCGTCTGCCATGTTTGATTTGAGGCGTGGGGTGGAGTGTCTTTCAAGTGTGAGCACAAGCTCTGAAGTAAGCAGCATCTGGTCCAGGCCAGGGTAATGTGTGCTGACTGGGTGAGGGACCGGAGGGAATTTAAAATATAATTATGCTTAGAGCCTCTGCTATTTAAGATCCCATACCTCCCTCCCAGTGAGATCCTGTCCCACTGGTGTGGTTGACGGCTGTGTTCTTCTGCTGCGGAAAAGAGAGAACTCGAGTAGCCTGACGTCTCTTTGGCGTTTGTCTGGTGCGCAGAGACAGTCGCGGGTCCCGGTATCCCCTCTGTAGTGGGTGAGCGGTTGGTGACCACAGTGGAACAGGCACAGGAAATGCAGCTGCTTGCAGTATCGTTTCCGTATAAGCAGGCGTCCTGCAGAGTTCTTCTGTCTGTCTTCCATTAAAGGTCCACACACGTTCCTGTCGGGGAGGATCAAGTCCAGCACATGGAGCTAGTTCAGGACCTAGTGCGAGGATTTAACAAGAAGTATGGGGAGTTCTTCCCGGTGCCCAAGTCCATTCTAAGTAAGTAACAAACATGTGATGGATAAATTGGGGCTGTTTATAATCCTTTCGTATTTAAAAAAAATTATTTTTCAATTACAATTGACATACAATATTACATTATATTCCAGGTTATACAACATAGTGACTAGATATTTATATAACTTACAAAGTAGCCACCCCGGTAAGTCTAGTAATCAGGGTATGTGTCAAAGAGAAGTCTGTATAATGGACCAAAGCTTAGAACTTTCTTGGAACTAAAATTTAACAACTAAAAATAATAATTTTTATGTATAAAGTATTATATAATTTAACACACACACACACACACACACTCATCCTCACACTCTGCCTCCTTAAATGCACAACTGAGGTGGAATGGACAGTCCACCTACTGAATGCGAGACCTCGGCTGCAACGTGCTGGGCTGTGCTAGTCTGAAATCTTTTTTTTAAAAAAATATATTTTATTGATTTTTTATAGAGAGGAAGGGAGAAGGATAAAGAGTTAGAAACATTGATGAGAGAGAAACATCGATCAGCTGCCTTCTGCACGCCCCCGATTGGGGATGTGCCCGCAACCAAGGTACATGCCCTTGACCGGACTCGAACCTGGGACCCTTCAGTCCGCAGGCCGACACTCTATCCACTGAGCCAAACCGGTTAGGGCTGGAATCTTCTTGAGGAAAGAAGCTGTACACCTCTATCAACATACGTGTAGCTGTGAAAACCTGTGGCAGGGGCAGAAATCACAAAACCTAAGCTCTGTCCATCTTTATTAAATTGACAGCATTTTAAAGGCATATACCATGCACCTAGTATCAATTTCGAAACCTAAGTTGGGTATAAATGTCGAAGTTATTCCCACAGATAAATTCAGGGCACCCCACACACCCAAATCAACCTTCTTTGAGTAATAAATAACATCTTAATGTTTTGGCCTATTGTTATTTTACCGAATTCAACTTTATATGCTTCTGTAATAACCATAAAACAGGCACTTATTACTAACACTAGTCTATGAAGTACAGCTTAACATCTTGATTCTATCAGCATAATAAGCAAACTTCGTGTGTGTGTGTGTGTGTGTGTGTGTGTGTGTGTGTGTGTTCGTATGTACTTATATAATCATGGGTAAAGAATTGGAAGGATTCACACAGATTGTTAAAACTGGTTTGGGGACAGGAAGGGCAGTGGTTATGGGTAGGGGATGATTAGCCAGTAGAGAAACAGAGGGGAAGAGAGAGGGAGAGGAAAGAAATAGACAACACTTTTTTTTAATGGTGTGCACAGCAAAAACAGTGTGATTGATGCAATTTTATTTATATAATACTATTGTACATTTTTATGTGAACATGTGCATCCAAAATGCATAAAGTTATGATCAACAAAATGTTAATATTTGGATGATGTTTATTTTCCTGCTTATGAAATTCTTGAATTTTGCACAGTGAGAATTTAATATTTATATAATCAGATAAAAATAATAGTTATTTGGTATTCTTGGACATTTAAAGATCTAGATTGACACTGACATTTCTGATGATTTTTTTTAACGTCATTGTTTTGTTCTTTGTTTTGTTTTGTTTGGGATGTGTGTGTTGTGTTTTTACCTAAGCATCGATGAAGAAAGTAAAATCTCTCCGTGATCCTTCTGCCAAAATGTCGAAATCAGACCCGGACAGACTGGCCACCGTCAGAATAACAGACAGCCCAGAGGAGATAGTGCAGAAGTTCCGCAAGGCGGTGACGGACTTCACCTCGGAGGTCACCTATGACCCGGCCCACCGCGAGGGTGTCTCCAACCTGGTGGCCATCCACTCCGCCGTGACAGGGCTCCCCGTGGAGGAAGTGATCCGCCAGAGCGCCGGCCTCGACACTGCTCACTACAAGCTGCTGGTGGCAGATGCTGTGATTGAGAAATTCGCTCCAATTAAGAGTGAAATTGAAAAACTGAAGATGGACAAGGACCACTTAGAGAAGGTTTTACAAATGGGGTCAGCAAGAGCCAAGGAATTAGCATATCCTGTGTGCCAGGAGGTGAAGAAGCTGGTGGGGTTTCTATAGGAAGTTTCAACTGATCACAGAAAGGCTCTTCCGTTTTGTGGTCTGTGCACTCCAAGAAAGGCAGCTTTCCTCCTGGACAAGCAGAAAATTGTAGTTTGGGGGCTATTTAATTTGGTGTACTTGGTATTGGCTTCATTTGATGAAGAATGTTTTGTGGCCTGCAAATAGAGCAGGATTCTAAATCCCATCAGCAAAATGCTGTGGCCAGGAAAGAAAAAAGCAAAGAAGGCATAGCTTTCTGAGCCCTCAGTATTTGAGGCACACACTCGCCAGCCTGGTTTACATACACAGATGTGACTGAGGCGACTGGTAATTTGGCAAAAGGGGGTATCATCTGTGTCTTTCTCAAGTGCTATCATAGGCGGTCACTTTATCTGTCCCAACCCTTTTACAGTGATAGGGAGAGGTCTCAGACTTACAATCCTTGGGATGCCATTGGGACCAACTTGTATTCGAATCTCATAAAAATAAGTTGATTAATAGAGTTCATTTGTCACTGAGATGGTGCCTGATTTAAAGCATTTAAGCTGCTTGTTTCCCAAGAGATTATACTAATTGTTTTGGCAAGTTTTTGTGTGTGTGTGTTTGTTTTTAATTCAGAGATGCATATAATCTTTTTAAAAGACTGTGTTATTTCAACTTGATATATTTATTGTTCAAGAACCCAGACCCTAGATGATGTTCCTAGTAGGTACTTCCAACCCCCTGTGAAATACCATTTTACATAGAGGGAAGGGAGACACAGAGGACACAGTTGGCTCAAACAGTATCTCTCAGGAAGTGAGAGGCAAATCCAAGACGGAAACTTTGCCCCTTACATGAGCCTCCAACCTTTTGAAGGTGGGTCCTGGAAATATAAGACCTGAACTACGAGGCTGTTTCTATCAGTAACTCAACTAATGCCGGCTTTAAATCTGGTTTCTACCAGCCTTGGTCACATTTGCTCCCCTGTCCTCTACCTCGTCTCTCTAAGTTATTCCTTAGAGAGTCACTCAGAAACCTGCACTCCCATTTCCCACCCCTGAAAATGGGAAGGGTAATCCTGACTTGCCAGGGTCTGTTAGCAAGATTGATTTTGTAACAGAAATTGCTTATCATTTTTTGCCAGTGAGTATAATGATCGTCATTTATACACAAAAGACTAGTATGTTGGGCAAAAACTTCTTACTCATGTTTCTTAAGAGGGGAATGTAAAAAGGTCCTTGTATTAACAGATATAAATCACAAAACACCGCATCCCAGAATCCAAAGTAAAAGACCCCTTTTTGGATCCTTTCTTGGAATGGGGTATCAATGGTCCTAGAGGAGTCTCGTCGGGCATATTTCTTCCAAAGCTGTTTTATTTTTCCTTTCAGATGAGCCCTATTATGAATACTGGAAAAAAGACATTAAAGGTGGATCTATCAAACCAATGGTCTATTTGCTTGTCTCTCTGTGTTTCTTTACCCCCTGCAACACCTTTTGTCCACAGAACTACAGGCACCACGGAAGGCATCTCAGAGGAGAGAAACCAGACGACTTGGGATGACTTCCGAGGAGCAAAACCCTGCACAGGTGAGGTCGGCTTGTGAGCATCCTGCTGTTGTTACTCTTTGAAAGTGACCAAGGGCTCAAGTCCAAAGTCAGCCTGTAATGACTGAGACATGCCCAATAATGTTGGGAAATGGGCTAGAGATTCCTAATAAAGTGTGGGGTTTGTTGGTTGGTTTGATGCACACCATGCAGATGTTGATCATGAAACAGATACCACTGAGCTCTCACTACATGTCAGCCATTACACTAAACATCTTATAACTGTTTTCCCGAGTTACAGAGTGAATATGATAAAAAAAAAAGGGGGGGGAGGGGGGTGGAGACACAAAATAGTAAAGAGTCAAAACAATAATTATGTTTTTATGACTGGTTATTGATTTTCTTCTCTGTACTTAAACTCCTTTTTCCGAGGTCCCCCGAGCAGCAGCATGAGTCCCATCTGGGGACTCATTCAGAATGCACATTCTCTGGCCCTCACTTACTGAATCAAAACTTTGGGGATGCACATAGCAACCTCTGTTTTAGCAGCCTTCTGGGTGATTCTGATGCGTGCAAAACTTTGCAAACCACTGTATTCTCTTATTTATGTGTATTCTCTCGTTTCCTCCTAACCCAATAAAGCGATACTGATATATTACACATTGAAACCCAGGCACGGGCAGTTGAGTAGGTTGCTTAAGACAGTTCAGCCTCTGAGAGGTAGAATCAGGTCATCCAATCCAGAGCCCACTGGGCCACAGCAGCTCCTGCGCTGTGTCTTCTGGTGTGTTTGGTGTAGTGTGCGCTAAGGTGCCCTGTCCAATACAGTATGTGCCCATTTAAATTTAAATTATGACTAAATAAATAATTCACATCCGCAGCAACAACTTCAAGGGCCCGGTATCCTCCGTGGCTGATGGCTAGTGACTTGGGTAGTGCAGTTTCATCCTCACCTGGGAACTTACTAGATATGCAAATACACACACACAGAGACACACACACACCCCGCCAGACTTATTGCATGGCAATTTCTGGGGGTGGCTCAGCAATTCGTTCGCCTTTCAGCTAATCAGATGCACATTAGTGTTTGAGAACCACTGTGCTGGGGGATAAAAAGAGAATAAAAGCCAGCCTCTCTCAAGGAGTTTAGAATAAAGGGAGAGAAGAAAATCAAAAACCAGTCATAAAAACATAATTATTGTCTTGACTTTCTGCTATTTCCTGTCTGTCTCCTCCCCGCCCCCCATTTCTTTTTATCATAGTCACTCAATGTAGCTTTGACTGTTTATTTATATATGATTATTATTTATAGACAGTTTAAAATTTTAGGTCATTTGGGCCTGTGAAAATCCTAAAAGGGGAAATGACTGAACTTACATTTGTAAATGGAGTAAACAGGGATTTGATCATCAATATCAGAGTTAACAAGGATCTCCTGAAGCCAAGAGGGATGAATAAGAAGAGGGAGTTCTTTTACACCGTGGGTAGTAAAATTATAGTACTTATTACCCTGTAAAGGGTTATATGACCTAGAAATAAAAACAGCTGAGCATGGGTTGATTAAATTTATGAGTGAGACAGTCACAAAACTGCAGTAAGCACAAGTTAGGAATGTTCAAATTATGTCTGAAAGTGTCTGATGTTGAAATCATAGGAACTTCTACCTTTTCTGTCACTGCCCTCATTCTCATAATCTTCCGTGTTCAGAGCTCTAGGCTAGACCAGAGGAGACCAGTGTGGCCCCCAACCGTTCCATCTTTCATAACTTTCTAACCTTTCCCTAATTTAACATATTAAGTGTTTGGTAAATTCTAACCATATTTCACCTTCACAGACCTGTGTAAAGCATAAGGACTGTTATCCCCAATTTACTGTGGTGGGCTGGAAAGGAGCCTGCCTGAGAATAGAGACTCATACTTCGTGTGTTTTGTTAAAAACCTGTACACTTTGGATTTAATGGGCAATAAAAGTAGAGAAAATAAGGAGGCAATGGATGCCATTCCTTTTTTAAAAATATATATATTTTATTGATTTTTTACAGAGAGGAAGGGAGAGGGATAGAGAGTTAGAAACATCGATGAGAGAGAAACATCGATCAGCTGCCTCCTGCACACCTCCTACTGGGGATGTGCCTGCAACCAAGGTACATGCCATTGACCGGGATCGAACCTGGAACCTTTCAGTCTGCAGGCCGACGCTCTAACCACTGAGCCAAACCGGTTACGGCGGATGCCATTCTTTAAAGAATTTGTTGTGATTTCTGATTAAAGTCAGCGTGCCATTAATCTTATTAACAAGAGACAACCCAGATCAAAGTCATTTCGTATGTCTGCTGCTATTTGCTGCTAGATACGATTTTAGCTCTGGCTTATATGTTGTGTTGTTTTCTTAAATCTTGCAATATCTTTAAACTGCCTTCCAGTTTGGTAAAATACAACCACATTATTTCCTTCCTGCCCTTTATCCCTTTAAGGAGACTTCATCCATCTTCTATCCCAAAATACTGTCAGTCAGGATTTCTATTCCAAATAATTTGAAGTCAAAAGCATTCAACAGTCTGGAGGCAAGTGAGCTTTTTATTGCGTTTTTATTGAGAGTAAATTGAACTGTGTGGGCAGGCGAGAGAGGGGCTCCTCTGTGAGGCCCAGCATGCCCCACCGCTGCACCCCAGCAAGGACTCGTGTTACAAGAATTACATCACTGGGGTCTGCTTATATTGGCTGACCAGGCCCAATAGACCCCTGGGCGCAGCCTGGCAGGTTAACTCCTTCTTGATCTTCATGAACCTTCCACAAGAGAGCTTACGTGGCGCCCAACTATTTTGTTTTTCATAACTTTCTAATCTTTTCCTAATTTAATATATAAAGTGCTTGGTAAATTCTAACCAAAATTCTTCTTTACAAACGTGTATGAAGCATAAGAATTGTTATCCCCATTTCACAGATAAGTTTTCCCTGAGTACTTTGGCACCAGCTAATCTGTTTATTGCACTTGAAGTTTGAACCATATATGTACTTGTTGGGGATTTTATTATTGTTTTTGTTTTATAAATTACTCATTGTCTGGAGCAAAGACTGAGCACAGAGTAGATGCTAAATACATGCTTATTGGTTGAAAATCACCTGAGAAGAGAGAGAGTTGGGGGATTGCAAATTCATATGGCTTCATGAGACAGATAACTTTATAATTTAATGAAATAACAAATATGACTTCAGTGCTTACTATGTGCTGGGTGCTGCTCTAGACACTGGGGATATAGCGGTGAAAAAATAGACAAAAATGCTTGCCCTCTTTGAATTAACATTGTAGTAGAGAGACAGACAATTAAAACAACATGGAAAGTACATGGTTGGTCACCAGGTGATGAAAGCTACATAGAAATGCAAAGAACATGGGGATACAGTGTGTTAGGGACTGAATTGTGCTTCCACCCCCAAAATTCATATGTTGAAGCCTCAACTCTCAATATCTGAGAATATAACTATATTGGTGACCTTGTTCAAAGCAGTTTGGGTAGATGATGGGGTCAAAAGTCTAACTGAATATATTTAAGAGTAAATGGAAGAAGAGAAACTAAAGACAGTGACCTTGACTAGTGTGGCAAGGAGTAATGCTCTAAAGAGAAACAGAGAAATGGGACAGTATGGTAGTGACATAGAGTCACAAGAGGGTTTTGTTTCTTTTTAATTATTTTTTT